CAGGTCCGGGCTGGGGATTCGAACCTGCCACCTTAGGTGTACGTGGCTGGCGCCTTAGCCGGTTGAGCTATAGGCGCCGAGCCAACAGACTGTTTTTTAATCACCCTTCACTTAAACAACTCAATAGAATTTAAACAACACTTCCTATTCTTCTGTAAACGAAATGGGTCATGCCAAGGCCATTATGACTGTTCGGAGATAGTGGAATTACTAAGTATACCTGAGGATATCTGCTACTATAAATTAATGGTTATCAAGAATCTATTTTATCTCTTCCAAAACCTCTTTAACTCCATTGTTATAATTCTATAATTTGATTAACTGTTACATAAACTGATGAGATATGAGTATAATAGGAGTTATTTCTGTGAAAACTAGTTGAATGCTTTAAAAAGATTCGATAAATGCTGGTCACTTTTTAAAAAACTGCTATCAAATTAAGTGTGAGCAAAACTGTAAAACATGGAAGAAAAAAATCATAAAAGTCTCAGAGGAGGCCAGGCACAATGGCTCACGCCTGTAATCCTAGTACCCGGGAGGCTGAGGCAGGTGGATTGCTGAGCTCATAGGTTCCAGACCCGCTTAAGCAAAAGTGAGACCCCCGTCTCTAAAAATAGTTGGGTGTTGTGGTAGGCACCTGTAGTTCCAGCTACTTGGGAGGCTGAGGCAAGAGAATCGCTTGAGTCCAAGAGTTTGAGATTGCTGTGAGCAGTGACACCATAGCACTCTACTGAGGGTGACAAAGTAAAACAGAGTTTGACAAAAAAACAAACAAAAAAACAAATAGAATACTATGGTAGTTTCCTAACTGGTTCTCTCTCCCTACAGTTCTTGCCTCTTATAAATTCAGTCATTATGTAGCACCAGGGTGATTTTTAGGGCAGAACTGGTTACTTATACAAATATTACTTTCCTGCTTAAATTCCCTCAAATGCTTTCCACCGCACTTATTTTAAAAGCCAACCATGCTTTAACAGCCATAGGCCTTGTGTATCTAACCCCTGCTCATTTTTCCAAGCTCTGCTCAAGTCATTCTCTTCCTTATTCCACTCCAACCATAGGGGCTTTCTTTTAATTTCTCAAATATACCCATGGTTTTGCAGATGATGTTTAATACATGCTTAAAATGGTCTTTTCTACTTACTTATAATTTTGACATATCCTTCATTTCTCATCTTATATTTTGCTTCCCCAGAGCTTTTTCCTGATTCCTTAATGTACATTCATACTACCTTGTTTTTATTTTGTATAAAAAAATATCATTGGCAATTTATCAGTGTAAATGCATTTGCCAAATATCTGTCAATAAGCTCTTTAGGACTGTCTCTTTTTCTCAATGATGTATAGCTGATGCCAAGCACAATTTCTGTCATATATTAGCTACACAAAAATTATTTACTGAGTTAATGCATCATCTTCTTAACATAATAAATAGTTCTGGAAAATTAAAACTAACTCCCCTGGCTAGAATGTGGAGAAACAGATATGCCACCTTAGTTCTAGATGTCTTTCTATTCCTATCTTTGGGGAGCCTTACAATTAGTTAAGAATAAGTTAAATGACTCCACTCTTTTTTTTTTTTTTTTTTTGAGATGGAGCCTCAAGCTATCCCCCTGGGTAGAGTGCCATGGCATCACGCTCACAGCAACCTCCAACTCCTGGGCTCAAGCGAGTCTCCTGCTTCAGCCTCCCAAGTAGCTGGGACCACAGGCGCCCACCACAACGCCTGGCCATTTTTTGGTTGCAGCCATCATTGTTGTTTGGCGGGCCCAGGCTAGGGATTCGAACCCACCACCTTAGGTGTATGTGGCTGGCGCCTTAGCCGCTTGAGCCACAGGCGCCGAGCCAATGACTCCACTCTTAAAACCAAAGATGCCAAAGCACTAATGTACCAATGAAAGCTCAGCTCCAGCTGCTAGTCTTCTCGTTGTCCTTGCTCTTGCTCAAGTTTTATTTCCTGTCTACAATGGTCCCTGTTTTCTCTAATCTCCAAAATTACCTGCTGATATCAGCACACATTCAAACTGCATTTTTCATGAAATCTTTCCTATAGTCCTGATCAAATTTCTTTCTTCTCTGAGCACCTGTTATATTTGTTGTCTTTTGTGTTCATATCAGTATTCAACATTAAGTATTTCTGAATATTAGTTGTGTGACATGGGATTTTAAAAATCCCCTCCAATGAGTTTACTGGCTACCTAAGAATGATGATTATCTATACAATGAGAATCAGAGAAGTCCTCCTGTCTGAAGCAATTAACACTGGTATCCAGTGTACTAAGAAAAAAAAGTTGCTTCAAGTAGAGATAAAGATATCTTAAGCATTTTAATTCAAAACATAATGTATATTGATTCTCCCATGTTTTGATATAAAGCTCAGCCTTTTCTATAATAAGAGTAATTTTAATGACTGAGTGCCCATACCTATAATGCATCTGCTTCAGTTTCATGAAGGTGAAAACAAACAAGTGACACTTCGGCAATAAGACATGTATAGAATCCCCCGAGAGTTTTTTCTTTTTTTTTTGAGACAGAGTCCCCTTTTGTAAGAGGTAAAAGGAAGAAAAAACAGTACTTAAGGCATTGATTAAAACCACTCCCCCCTCAAAAAAACCCCTACAGATGTATTAAAGTACATAGATGATGATTCATAGTTTTCCTCACCCTTATGACATAGCACCACTGGTACTGCACTCAATAAGCATGGGGAAAGTAGAATGGAAATTAGAAATAAAAATCACGAGAAGAGGGAAGATATTCATACAAGCAAAAAAAAGAGAGAGACAACTTTGTAGCATGGTGGGAAAAGCATAGGCTTTAGACTAAGACCTAAGAAGAAATCCTCTTGCAGTTTGCTAGCTGTATGTCCTTAGATAAATTACTTAATTTCTTCTAGTGTTAAAGTCTTCTCTAACTAGCCTAAGCCATTTAATTGAAATATACTTTAGAAAGATAAATTATCAAAGCATGAAAGTTAACTTAAATAAAATACCACCATGGTACTTAAATGTTCACTACTAACTTATGAGGAAAAGGACTTATTTAGGGCACCACACTCGGCTCAGCGCCTGTAGCTCAAGTGGCTAAGGCACCAGCCACATACACCTGAGCCGGCTGTTTGAATCCAGCCCATGCCTGTCAAACAATGACGGCTGCAACCAAAAAATGGTGGGGTGTTGTGGCAGGTGTCTGTAGTCCCAGCTACTTGGGAGGCACAGGCAGGAGAATCCTGGGAGTGCCTGAGTTGGAGGTTGCTGTGAGTTGTGATGCCACGGCACTCTACCCAGGCCCCGTAGCCAAAGGAAGGGCCCCGTAGCCAAAACTAAGTGACAAGTGTGGAGCACACTCCCAACCATAAGCACTGGAGTTGGACATACTTTTCTTTCTTGGGACCAGAGCAGGGGAAGATTTGCCAAAACTGCAAAGGTTGAGTTGGAGGTTGAGTTGGAGGTTGCTGTGAGCTGTGATGCCATGGCACTCTACCCAGGGTGGAGAGCTTGAGGCTCTGTCTCAAAAATAAAATAAAATAAAAATAGAGCAACACTCTAGTCATTCTGAAGAACTGAGAAGTTACTGTGTCCCTGAAGTAGGTGGTATTTTGGGGAGATGGTAAGGTAAGGGAAGAAGCAGAGGTAAACATGGTTGGGGGGCAGGGATGTCTCTATCTCTTAGAGCAGAGAGGTTATTTAAGCAGCATTTACAATGGAGAAAATTTAGAGGTCACCCTTTTTTACTTGAAGTCCCTGTCTGAAACAAGGCAGTTTCCTTTCTGATCCTAATCTACATCATGTACCTTCAACTCTCAATCTGTTTGCATTTGTTGCTTTTTTTTTCCACACACTGAATATCTCCTCTTCTGTCCAAAGCATAAAAATCTGCTAAGAATTTATGTGACATCTACCTACTTGTTACCTACTTTCGTGGTTGCAGCACATCCTACATTTTCATTTTTGAAATGAATTGCTTTATGCAGGCATACCTCATTTTATTGCACTTCATCTTACTATACTTCTCAAATATTGCATTTTTTACAAATTGAAGTTTTATGGCAAACCTCTAATGAGTAAGTCTGTTGGCACCATTTTTTCAATAGCACATGCTCACTTCATGTCCCTGTGTCACATTTGGGTAGTTCTTGTGAGCTTTCAAACTTGATTATTATATCTATTACAATGATCTATGATCTTTGATGCTACTGTTGAAATTGTTTTAGGGGTACCATGAGACATGCCCATAAATATAGTGTTCTGACTGTTCCACTAACTTGGTGTTCCCCCATCTCACTGTTCCCTGAACCATGATAATAGAGAAATTAGGAAGAATCACGTAGTTCTAACTTGAAATCAACAGCTAGAAATGATTAAGCATGGTGAGTAAGGCATGTTAAAAACTGAATAGTCCAAAAGCTAAACCTTTTATGCCAGTTATCCAAGTTGTGAATGCAAAGGAAAAGTTCTTTTTTTTTTTTGAGACAGAGCCTCAAGCTGTCCCCCTTGGTAGAGTGCTATGGCATAGCTCACAGCAACCTCCAACTCCTGGGCTCAAGCGAGTCTCCTGCCTCAGCCTCCCAAGTAGCTGGGACCACAGGCGCCCGCCACAATGCCTGGCTATTTTTTTTTTCGATTGCAGCCATCACTGTTGTTTGGTGGGCCGGGCTGGATTCGAACCCGCCACCTTAGGTGTATGTGACTGGCGCCTTAGCCACTCGAGCCACAGGCGCCAAGCCGAAAAGTTCTTGAAGGAAATTAAAAGTGCTACTTTAGTGACCACATGAATTATAAGAAATTGAAACAGTCTTACTGCTTTTATAGAGAAAGTTTTTGTCATTTTTGTTTTTGTTTTTAAGTAAGTTTTAGTGGTCTGGATAAAAGATCAAACCAACCACAACATTCCTTTAAGCCAAAGCCTAATCCAAAGCCCTAACTTCAATTCTATGAAGGCCGAAAAAGGTAAGGAAGCTACAGAAGAAAAGCTGGAAGCTAGAAGAGGTTGGTTCGTGAGGTTTAAGGAAAGAAGCTGTTTCCATAATGTTAAGGTGCAAAGTAAAGCAGCAGCAAGTTGTCTAGAAGGTATACCTAAGATCATTGTTGAAGGTGGCTATACTAAACGACAGATTTTCAGTGAGGATGAAACAGGCTTCTATTGGAAGAAGATGCTAATTATGACTTTCATAGCTATAGAGAAGTTAATGTCTAGTATCAAAGCTTCAAAGAACAGGCTGACTCTCTTGTTAGGGGCTAATACAACTGGTTACTTTAACTTGAAGCCAGTGCTCATACCACTCTGAGAATCCTAGGGCCCTTAAGAATTATACTAAATCTACTCTGATTGTGCTTTAGAGATGGAACAATAAACCCTAGGTGATAGCACATCTGTTTATAGCATGGTTTGCTGAACATTTTCCTGCTGTTAAAAGCTACTGCTCAGAAAAGATTCCTTTCAAAATATTAGTGTACCTAATATTGCACTCTGGTCACCCAAAAGCTCTGATGGAGATGTACAAGGAGATGAATGTTGTTTTCATACCTGCTAACACATCCATTCAACAGCCTGTCAATCGAGTTCTAATTTTGACTTTTAAGTCTTATTATTTAAGAAATAGTTTGGATTTTTTTTCTGAGATGTCAAATTAGAGGCTTCTTCAGTATACCTTACCCACTTGGAAGAAGCAAAATAGTGTGTAGAGATTAATACTATGAACTTTTATTCACGAAGGAACACAAAAAAAGTAAGAGAAATTTCAGATCCCTGGGGATGAGAAGGTGAGTGGAAAGCTGGCCTGGCAGCATCCAGCTGAGAACTGTAAGTGAAGTCTTAAGACAGGATCGGGGAGACAGTATCCCCCTGTCATCTGCCCTTCCACTGGGAACAGTGAAACCCAGGCAATGGAAGAGCATCTTGTTTCTCCCAAGCCCCAAAGCTGATGTGGGGAGAGGCCAGGAGACTGTGAGAAGGAAAGGCACCAGGAAGCACCCCAGGCATTTCTCGAGACCCAGGAAGGACACCATTCTTAATTCTGGCTCACACCAAGCTGGGAAAGATTTGGCTACCTTGCAGGGACACTGTCTCAGGCATTAGAATGTCTCCAGTCAGAGATCAGAATGCAGGGTCTGGAGCAGGGAAAGGGCCCAATAGCTAAAACTAAGTGACAAGTGTGGAGCACACTCCCAACCATAAGCACTGGAGTTGGACATGCTTTTCTTTTTTTTTTGAGACAGAGCCTCAAGCTGTCCCCCTGGGTAGAGTGCCGTGGCTTCACAAACTCACAGCAACCTCCAACTCCTGGGCTCAAGCGAGTCTCCTGCCTCAGCCTCCCAAGTAGCTGGGACTACAGGCACCCGCCACAACGCCTGGCTATTTTTTGGTTGCAGCCGTGATTGTTTTGGCGGGTCCGGGCTGGGGATTCGAACCCGCCACCTTAGGTGTACGTGGCTGGCGCCTTAGCCGGTTGAGCTATAGGCGCCGAGCCGACATGCTTTTCTTTCTTGGGACCAGAGCAGGGGAAGATTTGCCAAAGCTGCAGTTTTGCCCAGGTGCAAGATTTGTGAACAGGGATGGCTTTGAGGTCTAAACCCAGTCTGCATGTGACTTTACTGAGTGCCCCCACTTGCTCCCTTGTTTGGGATTGGGGGGATGAGCTCTGCCAGTTCTGAAGAAAGAGATGGGTCCTACATCCACTTGCCTGGATTAGGAGCTAGGGCCACGCCTCCCTTCCTATGCAAGGAACTTGGTGCAGAATGAGTTTCTCTGCTCCTTTGCCAATCCCTATCTCCAGTCATTTGGCGACTACTCCTAGACCCCCATTGGAGCTGCTGCTTATGCCCACCATTAGGGTACCTGAGTGCAGGCCTGCCTGGTCCAGCATCACCTGTCCACCCTCTAAGGCCAAGCACAGAATCAAAACCACTGTACATTCACAGCCCAGGCTATTGCCAAAAACACCATTTCTCCTCCTAAACAGAAATTGAGCATAACTTCTGCCACCACCATAGCCAGCTCTTATCTGCAAATGCTACCTATTAGACTAGAGGCCAGCCTGTACAACCCAATACAAAATCCATTGACACAAGTACATAGCTCTTAGGAACAAGATAAGCTTCTCATAACCTCTGCCACCCTGGCTTTGCAGAGGCCATGAGCACTAGTTATAATCACAGAGATAACAAATCAACCTAACTGTCCATCCACAGATGAATGGATAAAGAAAATGTGTTGTGGTGTGTTTATATGTGTGTGTTTTATGGGGTGGGGGCAGAGAATGGAATACTATTCAGCCATAAAAAAGAATGAAATCATGTCTTTTACAGCAACACATATAGAACTGGTGGCCATTATCTTAAATGAAACAACTGAAAACAGAAAGTCAAATGTCTCATGTTCTCACTTATATGTAGGAGTTAAATTATGTGTACACAAGGACGTAGAGTGTAGAATAATAGTCATTAGAGACTCCAAAGGGTGGGAGGGTTGGAAGGGGGTGATATACAAGAAATTACTTAATCGGCAAAGTATACAGTATTAGGTGATGGGTACACTAAAAGCAAGACTTCACCACTATGCAGTATATCCATGTAACAAAACTGCATTTGTACCACTCAGAGTCATATGAAGAAAAAGAAATGGATTTCTTAAGGCTGTAGCTGCCATGAATAGTGATTCCTTTGATGGATCTGGGCATAGTCAATTGAGTATTTTCTGGAAAGGATTTGCCATTAAGAACGTTCATGATTCAGGAGAGGAGGTCATTATATCAAACATTTACAGGAGTTTAGAATAAGTTTCCAACCCTCATGGATGACTCTCACAGGTGCAAGACTTCAGTGAGGGAAGGAACTACAGATGTAGTAGAAATAGCAAGAGAACGAAACCTGAAAATGTGACTGAATTGCTGCCATCTCATGATCAAATTTGAATGGATGAGGAGTTGTTGCTTACGGATGAGCAAAGTATGGTTTCTTCAGATGAAATCTCCTGGTGCAGATTTGGTGAACATCGTTGAAACAACAACAAAAATGCTAAGAATACTATAAATAGGGCTGGGCGCAGTGGCTCATGCCTGTATTCCTAGCACTCTGGGAGGCTGACGTGGGTGGATTGCTTGAGCTCAGGATTTTGAGACCAGCTTGAGCAAGAGTGAGACCCTGTCTTTAAAAAAACAGTCAGGCAGCTCGGCGCCTATAGCTCAACCGGCTAAGGCGCCAGCCACGTACACCTAAGGTGG